TCTTAACGTTTCAATTAATTAAAAAAGTCCATCAAAGAATTTGAAAATAAAGGATAAATATTGTTTGTCGATGCATTTAGCAAGGATTTTATATCCTTTAGAAGTAGAAGTAATTTCAACCATAACGTCGATGTCGTTAAGGAATTTAATTGTGTACATTAATAGTTCTTTGTCATTAGCCTTTTTTGTTGCAACTAAAATGAAAGTAGATAATTTTTGAAGTTTAAGTTCAAGTCCAGATCCTTTATATTCTTTAGACATAGTATTTGGAAGAGAGTTCCATAAATTAGCACAATTAGCAATATCAACTTGAGATTGTTCTTTCATTAATAAACCAATTGGCATTTCAAGAACATAGAAATAAATTTGTTGTGTAGAATTAGCGATAGCAACTTCTAAACGAGAAGAAACAGGAGTTGTAATTTCAGGAGGAATAAGTCCAACTGGAAGTAAAGCACCCCAACGTTTATTTGGAGGAATTGCATCAATATTTAATTGACCAGGAACTAATCCAAAAACATTTTTATTAAATTGCATTTGGAAATTAGTCATTGTTAATGGACTATTATTTGTAATTTCTAATTGTAAGAATAAACTACCACCTTCATAAATTAATGAAGCATCAACTTTCATATCAGTTGGTGTTTTTGGTAATGCAACTAAACGATTAATTGGAACAGTTTGTTTTCCAATAGAGAAAATATCTTTCATTGAATCATTTCTCTTTGAAGTATCTTCATCAAAGTCTAAAACATTTTTAGAAGCAGTTCCAATAAGATTAGAACTTCCTCCATCGAAGCAAAGAAGATCACTCATTTCACTTCCACCTTCTTCTTCATCTAATTTAGCACTTACTCCAATTTTTTTCAATTTTACTACAAAAGATGCTGGAACTTTTTGATAAACAGCAGATAATTCACCTAATTCTGAAATAAGAGAATTAAGAATTTGTGGATGAAGTTGTTGAGTTTGGAATGTAATGACATCACGTTCTTTTAACATAATATCATGTGTTTGTTGTGGATGATCAAATAAAATTCTCCAATAAATATGTGCACGATCTCTAATATCAAATGATGCTGAATTAGATGCTTCACTTAATGCTTTTTGTACTAAATCTTGTGAGTCTGGTTGTTGAATAAATAATTTAACTGATGCAGTAAGAAGAGCTAATTGAACATTAAGTGGTTCATCAGCAAATGAATTCATAAATTCATTGAGAAGATCAAATGAATTAGTAATAAGTTGATTATATTCTCCAATAATCCAAATCATAGCAGCTTTAGCATTTGGATCATCTAATGTATTTAAATTATCACATAATTTTGCAATTACTGGAAGATATTTTTGTGGATATTTTCTAAATAAGTCTTTCATTACAATACATGCTTCTTGTACAATATAATTTTGACCTAATTCAATTAATTCAACTAATTGTTTAACACATCTATCTGCAACTTTTTCTAATTTTAATGCACATTTTCCAAATGCTTGAACTGATTTTCTAACAAATTCAATATCAGCTGAAAGAGCATATTCTTTTAATTCTACAAGAATATCCATTACATTACTTTCATTAACTAACATTAACATAATTTCTAATTTTTCTATTTTAATATAAATTGGTTCATCATATGAACAATAAAATGTTCTTAATTGATTACTAAATAAATGTGGATATTTTTGTATTATTAAATTAATACATCGAAGAGTAATATATTGAATTTCATAATCATGTTTAGAACTATTACTTAATACTATACTAACTAATGGTGCAGATAATCTTTTACAATAAATATTAGCAATTTGTGGTGAAATTACTTCTAAATGTTTTAATACAATTTTTGCTGCTGCCATAACAACTGATGGATTATTATGTGTAAGTTTATTAATTACTCTTTCACATATATTTTCTGCTTCTTTTGATTCTTTTGGAATATATGTAGCAATAGCATCCATAATATAAACTTGTCCCCATTCATTACTTCCATCTAATGCACTTAATAATGGTCTAACCATCTTTTCTTCAATAATCCATTCTTTTCCTCCATTATTTCCAATTTCATGTAATGCTGCAATAACATTTGAAACAACCATTTGATTATCATCTAATAACATATCTCTTAATGTATTAAGAAATCCATGTTGTTCAATATTAATTGGATCCATACAATATAATTTTAAAACACAAAGTACTGCTGTTTTTCTAACATATGGATCTCTATCTTTTAAACATTTTCCAAGTGGTTCAATAAAATATTCAAATACATTTTGTACTCTAATACATCCCATAGTTCTAATTGCTAATGCTCGAATGAGTGGATTAGGATCACTTGAATCTTTAACAAATGAATTAACAACTAAAATAGCACGTTCTGGTTGACTTCTAGAGTAATTCATTAAATACAAATAAACTAACTTCTTGAGTTCTAATTTATTTGTTTGCATACACTTTAAAACATCAATAAAAAGCATAGAAACATCTTTTCCTTCTGTCATTGCTGCAACAATTCTTTTAACAGCTTCTGTTCTAACATCATCTTTACTACTATTTAATTTTTCTCTAAGATCTTGAATTTCTCCTCTATGACTTGAAACAAAATACTTTGACATTGTTGAAATTTTATTTATTTTAAGTTTTTTCTTTAAAACTTTTATTTTCTTTTAATTAATGAAAAAATTAATGAATAATTAATTTATTTATTTATTTCTTTCTTTAATTTTTTTTTTTTT